GAACTGTCTTGGGAAAGAATTCTCCTTATGCCAGGTTCTGCAAAGTTATTAATAGATATAGCGATCTAATCGACATTCACTTTGACTCACCCAAAACATTCTCTAAGTGTCTCCGTTAATGTATAAGTTAATAGCGTAAATTAAAATAGATTTCTTAGTTTTTTTTTTTTAAAGTTTTTTTTTAGTTTATGCAGCACTAATCTTACTAATAAATATGTATTTAATTTTAGTTGAGGAACAACTTATTGTTTTTCAGTTTTTTTTTTTATATGCATGCGGAGTTTACCTTTAAGTAATTGTTGCACTTGTGTTACTTTTAAGTAATTGTATTAATTTGATGTGTTAGTGTTATCAATTGTTGGTGAACCTAATAAAGAGAAAAAAAAATAACCATAATATAGCTGCAGCGTGACTCTACCACGTATATGCAAGCAGGGCAAAATCTCTTATAAAAAAATCAATTGACGTATGGTTGCTGCGTAAAGGATTCCATCACCACATTTCGCTTCGTCTTTAAAAAGGCGACAATGGGAAGTTACATCAAAATTAATGCAAAATAAAATCAGATCATTTTCGATATTTGGCGGTATAAGTATCTGGTTTTCGTCAGACGAGGAATACCCAGACCGGCGACTGGTACCAACGTCATAGATGCTGGACTTATGTTTCTGCGATGCGATCGTGAATCCACCCTCATAGTTTGACGATTGAGACAAACCTTCCTACAACGGAAGAGGCCCATTGCCACTTCAGGTTATTGATCCGTTGGTAGCAGTAATACTGAATATATAATTATTGTCAAAGATCCATAGCTTTGAAGCTATTTTTGCGCAAAATAGAACTCAAATTTTATTCGATTATTATGGAAGTTTTTAAGTCAATTCATGAATCATGAATTAAATATGATGCTTCTATAACTATTGTGAATGTGTATTTGTGTCAGATTATTTTTGTGCCTATATTTTAGTAAAAATGTTAATAAATAATAAATATATAATAATAATATATATAATAATAATAATAATAATCTACTACTGCCCGCATCGTCCGCCGGTTTCTTTCCCTTTCTTCCTAACCCTTGGCCGTTTGGTCTCCCCCTGCCGAGGGCTTCCATCTGGTTGGGCTTTTATTTATTTATGTATTTTTGTATTTATTTTATTTTATTGATATTTATGTATATTTATCCTTTCATTTTCGTTTATAATTATATATTTATACATCCCAACCAGATGAGAAAACTATATAGATACCCCATTATAATAATAATAATCTTATGGAATTGCTCAACATCACTTGTGAATTTAGCAATTCTATTGGAATGGAGCTGGGGACTGATAAGTGTGCGGTCCTCCATGTTGAAAGGGGAAGGGTTGCTAACTCGGAGGTCATAGACTTATCTATGCCCGTCAACTTAAGGACCCTTTCCGAGGCTGAAACATACCGATACCTGGGTATGTCACAGAATATCGGTATCGATGAGGCTGGTATGAAACAGTCAGTTTGCGACGTGTTTTCTGCACGCTTGACCAAAGTGCTTAAATGCCTGTTCTCATATATACCTTTGGCATACTCAGGTGGACTCAGACTGAACTTAACGCCCTGGATAGAAAAATCCGCACTACAATGAAGTCCCATAGGATGCATCATCCGAGATCGTCGGTAATGAGGCTGTACTTGCCGCGAAAGCATGGTGGGCGTGGCTTCTTGAGCGCGCTCACCATGCATAATCGCGAAGTGTGCAGCCTCCATGATTACTTTCTGGTGAGATCGGATGATCCATTCTATAAGGACGTCATTTCTTGTGACAAAGGACTTACCCCTCTATCCTTAGCCAACTAGCAATGGCAAGACCCGGCAGTGCAGAGCATTTTCGACCGGGGAGACCGGAGGGAGCACGGGAGGTTCTACAAGGCTCTGTATGAGGCTTTCGTAGACACAGTAGCCTCCCTCCACTGGCTACGCTTTGGTGATCTCTTCGGGGAAACCGAGGGTTTTGTCTGTGCAATACAGGATCAGGTTATTAAGACCAACAACTATCGGAGATACATCCTAAAGGATGGCACCATCGACATCTGTCGAGCTTGTCGCCACCCCGGTGAGTCACTTAGGCTTGTCATCTCCGGTTGTTCGGCGCTTTCTTACTCTGAGTACTTGCACAGGCACAACCTAGTAGCCAGAATTCTTCACCAGGAGCTCGCTTTGAAATACGGTCTCGTGGATCGGAAATTGCCGTATTACAAGTACTTGCCGGAAGCCGTACTCGAAAATGATCGCGCCAGGCTCTATTGGGACCGGGCCATCATCATACACAGGACTATTCTTGCGAATAAACCTGATATTGTGCTGATGGACCGGACACAGTCAAGGATATTTTTGGTCGAGATTTCCATTCCGTATGACGAGAACCTCGTGAAAGCCGAAACAGATAAACGAACAAAATATCTGGACCTGGCTCACGAGGTGACCCACATGTGGGGTGGTATGCCGGCCGAAATTATTCCTGTAGTCGTCTCTGCGAATGGGCTAATCGCAGTCAGCCTCTCGGGTTATCTGAGGCGACTGGGACTCCGTGACGGACCGCTCCGGGCTCAAATCCAGAAGGCGGTACTCCTCGATACCGCCCGCATCGTCCGCCGGTTTCTTTCCCTTTCCTCCTAACCCTCGGCCGTTTGGTCTCCCCTGCCGAGGGCTTCCATCTGATTGGGCTTTTATTTATTTATGTATTTTTGTATTTATTTTATTTTAATTATATTTATGTATATTTATCTTTTCATTTTAATTTATAATTATATATTTATAGAACCCAACCAGATGAGAAAACTATATAGATACCCCACATTATAATATATATATATATATATATATATATATATATATATATATATATATATATATATATATATATATATAATGTAAAAAAGTTTTAGGTTACAGGGGGGATGTAAACATCTTTTTCACAGGATACTAATAAGACTCCTCGATCCTTCACATCTAACTTCAAAACGCAGATGCGTTGTTACCCATGAGGACTACGATTGAATCTCGTTTCAATAAAAAAGGGTCTCCGGATTTCTATACTCACCATACGAAAAACAGCAGCATTAAGCTGCTATTTTATGCTGGTATTCTGTGAGAGCGTGGTCCTTCCCCGGTCGAGCAGACCCATTCGTGCTACAACTATAATATAGCTGCAACGTGTTTCTACCACGTATGGAATTCATTGCTGTATTTAAATTATCAGGCGTTACGTTGCCTGGTAAGCTTGCTGGTGGTTTATGATTGAAAGTAGTTTTATTATGTATTTATATCAAAGTAATGGTTATCATTCTGCGTTTTATTTGCTAATAATAAGTTTATATCAAAGTTTTACATTGATTAAAAATATGTGAAGACTCCTATAATAAAAGATAATAAAACCACTTATATTAAAAGTAAAATTAATAAATAATCTGAAATATTATCCATGTAGACAACAAATAAGTCAAATCAAATTATTCGAATTGTTAATTTTACTTGTGTAAATTTTTATGATTAAAATATGTACGTAAATGAACGGTGCTTATTTTTATATAATATTTTATTTAGCATATTGCATTACGGAAATAATCGTTTATTACAAAAAAATATCATGGAACCAAACTTGTTGAAAGACAAAGAGAGTGTAAGCAGAATAAATTCCACGGGATGCACGTCATCCAAGAACGCGCCGACGTCGCCGCTCGCCGCCTTGATTATCAGACCAGCGCAACGCAGCGTCTGCAAGTATATTGATGAGATATACAGGGCTGCCAGATTTAAGGTTATAATTAATTATGTATAAAAATAATCTTTCAGTATATAAAAATAATTCATAACATTGTTTGTCTTACGTTGCTTTTAGACGTAAAATTTGGCCAAACTTCTGAGTTCCTAAATTCAAGAGGGTAGTTTTCAAGACAAGTTACGTTTTATTCTGTTGCAGTAACATAATATATTGTTGTAAAAACAACGTCTGAAATTCAAATCAGTTTGATTAAATTACAGAAATTTATTGTATACGTATTGAATAAATTTGTATACAATATAAGTAAAAATGGCAACACAGGCTAAGAAAAATTTTAAGTTTATATTTTGTATTCAATACACAAAGAACCACCTACTTATAGGGTTTATGTAACTAACTTTAATTTTATAATCTAGCAGCCCTGAAATTACACCTTAAAGGGCTTTAATTGGTATAGTTCATCATTAATTACTAGAAAACTACTAACAAATGTTTACTATCCTATAAAATACTAAGAAATATATACTTCTTTAAACATTACGGCAATACTAATTCTTTTTTTTTACTTACAAATAAAGAAATTTATAAGTTTTAGTGGTCTTTCACTTATAGAACTGAAAGGATATAAATTTAAATTTGCAAAGAACTAGTTTATATTAGAGATTTATAGTAGGATAGGTTTTTTCCATTTCAACCAAAAAGCACTGCGTTTATTCATGTTCATACCTCCCATCTCATCATGCCGAAAACCACGCGAGTAGAATGAAGAAAAAAGCTTGTATTATATCTGGTATTACGTAATGTCACACTAAAATTTTAGTAACACTTCGTTCAGTAATAAAATTACTTTTAAGCGTATTTTAAAATAAATATGATTTTTTTCTGCTAAGTATCAGAAAATTCGGCTTTTAATTATTATTGACATAACTGAGGATAAAAATTTATAATAGTTTATGCTTTAGGAAACTAATATTTATGTGAACAATGAGTTAAACTGAGCGATTTTTGCGGTCAGAGCACAACACGATGAGGTGAATCAGTATAACATTAGTCCATAACAGAGTCGCCCGCGCCTCGTTGCCGACTAAGGGCAAAGGAGATATTTAAATTTAGAACTCTTAGCCCTTTCGTTGTTGGTTTTTTATTTTTTTAAAAGTGTTAGTGCGAATTTTTTGGTTTTGGCCAGTACGAAACAACCTCATAGTGTATTAGGTTGCGTTCAGTTTTTTAATTCGAAATGTCAAGGGCACATTATACAGTGAATGACGATGTTTACGGGAAGATTTTAAAAACAAATCCTAACTTAAAGGCGGACACGGATTATGCAGAAGTTTTCGAAGCAGTCGAAGGACTAGGTAACCTCTTTTAATTTTAAAATGATTGTTTTC